GAGAAGCCAGCCATAAAGGATCATACAGCGTGCGCCTTCACCTACACACGGATGCCTGGAATAGGCCAGCATGTGGAACGCAGGCAGAGGGCAGTGACTGGCAGTCAAAGTGCCAACACTGTGCTGATGGCTGCACAACGATATGAATATACAGAAATCTACTTCATTACTCAACTTCAAATGAGTGAATTTTGTGGCATATGAATAAAACTAATTTAATAAGAGTGAAAAATAAAAGTTCTTCCGATGGGAAGTTTAGGGAGGACTAGAAAGGCTGGAACTGAGCCTCTAAACAGAGCCGTGAACACAGATGCTAAACACCATCAGGCCCAGGCTCCTGGCCTCCTGTGTCCTTGTCCTGCCTTCTGAGAGCACTGAAGCTAGCCCGCCGCGCCTAGGGAGTGGTACAGCTGTCCTTACAAGATCCTAGTGACTGGACACAGGAGGTCACCATCTTCCGCATGGATAACACAAGATGATGGACACATCACCTCGAGGGGTTTGTTTAGGGGACTTTCAGGTCCAGGGCATCCAGCCCCCAGATAGGTCGAAGCCCACCTGGCCACCATAAAAATTCCCTGAAGAGTCCAGCATTGCTGACCAAGCCCAGGAAGGCTCTGAGCATCCCTGACCAACCAAGCATGTGGACATGGGCTGAACACACCCCCGCTACGCCCCAACTTCAGTCTATAGGAACCTTTCTCCTGAAGTCCTTGGGGAGCCCGGGAAGCAAGAGAGCTGCCAGGTTCCTTGCTCTGTGCATCACAAATGAAATCCTACTCTCTTCCACCACCGACATCGCAATCGACTTTCTGTGAACAGGAGAGTGAGCCCAGAGTTGGAGGTTCTACAGCAAGTCCTCCATCTAGCTTTGGGGCTTGTCAAGTGAACAAGGTCTTTGACCAACTCTGTATCAGAGAACCCAAAATCACTCACTCAGTAGGGACAAATACTAGACTCTCAAATTTCATCTGAGAGAACACTCTAGCGCACCTGGCACAGGGCAGCTGGAATGCAATTATAAAGACACAGTCTTATGGCTCAAGGAGCAGGAGGATGGGGTTTTGGGCTAACAGGATAACTGGAAAAAGAACAAAATCCTGGAGAGAGGGAGACACAAAGGTCTCTACTACTGTGATGACCAGTGACTGCGATGACGGTGACTGGGGCTCTCAGACAGCTCCAGGATGGAGGCTGGTCGCTGGAAATACCAAGGCCACGTTCAGCCCGACCACCAAAGTCATGGGCAGGAAAGGCACTGAGGCATCCATGATTTAATCAGCTCTGCCTAGCCAGCAAAGCCCCAGTAAAAACCCAAAGGGAGTAAGGTAGGAGGGCTCCTGGAGCAGTGAAAAGCAGCAGGCTTCAGAGAATGGCCAGCCGGGACATCCACAGCCCTTCCCCCACCCCGTCCCATGCAGGCTTCCATCTGGCTGCTCCTCTCTCTCCTCCGCAATACACCAGTAAGCATCAATAAAATGTCTCCCTGAGATCTGTGAGATGCTCTAGCAAAACAACCGAATTCAAGGCGGCATGGAAACTGCCTGAATGCCAGCAGATCAGAGCATACGCCACAAGCTGAGGTCTGAGAGCGGCATCTGAGTGGTGCTGTCTTTCTGTGGGGCTGAGCTCTCTGTGTGTGGAGTCTGTCCCCAGGAGGGCAGTTGAATGAAGACACCCAGCTGGTGCTTGCTGGAGAAGCCCTGGCTGGTATGCAGGGAAAACCCACACACTTGGGGTTGAAGTGTTTTACTGAGGTAGTGGCCATGTGGCAGTAGAGAGTAGGAAAAACTCTTGATTTTTTTCTTTCTTTACCAGGGAAAAGGATGATAATAAAAATGGACCCCAACATGAGCCAGATATCAGAATAGATAAAAAAGAATTTCAGTCTACAACAAAAACATTGTTAAAGAAACATACAATCACAATAAACTGAACAGATAGCTGTTCTAAACAGAAAGATTCAAATTATAAGAAAAGAAATGAAATGGAAATTCTAGAACTGAAAGTATATATTTTTAGATAAAAATATATTGAGTTGAACAGGATTGAAAATATTTGATGAAATAGTGAATATGACCAACATAATTATAGAAATAAATTTACCTATATATATAGTGCTACAGAATACAGGTAAAGTCTCTAAAGTACGGAAAAGAAAAGATGCCAAAGGCATTT